TTTTAAACTGCTATAATTATTTTAGGCTGTTGTAATTATTTTTGGCTGCTGTAAATAATTGACATTTAGGCATTTTGAAGCATTATGCTAAAAATATATATTTAAACTAGTCTTTTGAGGACTAGGGCTTTTTTATTTAGTATTGTAGAACATAGTAACTCACAGTCTAATTACCTCAAAAAAGCTACTTTACATTAGAGAATACATCTAGCCACATGTACACTTTTGGTATCTAATTTAAATAGTTCACCTATATATAGGTTCTATACTAGCTGCCATACCTGCAACCCAACTACAGGTGTTGCCTATTTAAACCCTCTGTACTGCAATCCTTACTGTTATCACTAGAACATCTCCATTACATGATGTTAGTCAAGAAGTTCTAGATGCTTACCTATATCCTTAGGACCCCTACCTTATTTCATACAAATTATCCTTAAAACATCATTACTAGAGCCTTTTGTATCTCAAATTACAGCTAAATCTAGTTTACAACCCTTGCAAAGTTCATATAATCCCAGTATTCTCCTTTTACAACTTTACTGTTATCTTATCTACCCTTGCAAGTTCTCCTATACTACCAATTCAGTTAGCTCTGCATGATGTGACTTCATGCCCAGATCAACTGGTATTCAGATTGGTAAACCTTTTACCTAGAGGTTCTTGCCTATACAGATCACCTGCTCTAGGTTTTCTTTAGAAGATCAAAATTTTTACAGGTGGCACTGTTGAAAGTTATACTACCTTTCTGCTCAGGATTTCCAAGCAGGCTTCTAATCCAAGTATATACTTTCCAGATTTATTTGTGTGATATTGCACACTTCCAAAGTTAGTCTTGGTATAACCAAAATTACAAGATCTACAAACTCAGATCACAGATAAGTTTGTTGAAATAGGTCTATTTTTTCAAAATCTGTCATCAATAGGAATTGAACATTGAACCTACTGCTTGGAGGATAACAACCCAACTACTAAACTAGAATCATTATCCTCTGTGCTAAAAATATAAAAAATGCTATAATGGCATAATGCTATAAATTATTCTGAATTTAGACACTTATGTATACACAGAAAATTGAGTCTTAAAGGCTAATTAGGATAAAATTATATGCTGGTCTCTTTATGATAAAGATTTTGAATTTCAAGTTGATGAAATAAGTAATAAAAATAAAATTGATAAGAAAAAAACAAGAATCTTAACTTATAATGAAATTGAAAATTAACTCTTTATTCTTTATAAAAAATGATTACAAGATTTGAACTTACAACTTCTAAATATATTAGAGATACCTTGTGCAAAAAAACTCAAAAAGCTGTAAAAATTTATAAGTTATTTGAAAAGATAGGTCTAGTTAAAATTAAATATATTAAGAACTATAGTGCAAATTCTATCTTGAAACTTACTAATGACCAAATTCAAAAGATTATTAATCATAGTTTAGAAAGCTAAATCTCTAATTCTTCTTTATTTAAAATTATACCTAAAGTATTTTCTGAAGATAATATAATTAAAATTTTTAAAATAGCCTATCTTGAAAAGGCTTTATTAAAAACTAAGATAAATGCATCATCTGTATTACAATTCAAGAAAGATTTATCAAAGCAGAGGTAAATGTGCCATTTAAATCTCAAACTAAATTAAAAATCTTATCTGAAAAACAGAATAATTCAACTTATAATTAATCCTATTTTTATAAAAAAACATTAGATCAATATTCTAATTTATATTAAGAAGATAGTAGTAAAAATTTCAATTATTATAAGATTACTAATAAAACATTATGCCTATTATACAAATTAGATTATGATGATAAAGAAGATATAAAAGATAGATATGTAAAGCATAAAGTCTTTGATTTATATAAAATTAGATTCTATTATATTAAATGTGAAAAGCAGGAAGTTGAAATTAAGGTAATAACATGAAATTTATTTTATATTAACACAATTCATTTAAGTCTTTAAAGTGTTTCTTCAAGGCATATTTTTTTTATTAATTATTGTTAATTTAAAGAGACAACAATTATATAAATAACAACATAAATATATAGATAAAGTCCAATAAAATATTAACTTCTAAATATTTGAAATAGAATAATAAATTTACTAAATTATCAAGTGTTTTAACTGATAAAATTTATTTCAAGTTATATAAGAGATACAAGAAAAAAACTGGTCTTGATCCTTAAATAAACTCTGAAATTTCTAAACCTATTCAAATTGTAGATAATAAAAATAAAACAGAGATATACATATTACCTATAAACAAAAATGTATTTTTCAATTTTCATCTTTTGATTTTTATTTTACCTAAAGATTTAGATGAAAAATGAAATCTTGTTATTTATACTACATTGAAGCAATTCAATAATTTATCACTTAAACATAATATTAAAAATAGTAATTATTATAATTATTCAAAAATATGCTTTTTATACAATAAAGATTATAAAGAAAGTATATAGAAAAATATAAAGAGTGAATGGAGTTCTGGTAATTATTGTAATGAAAAAATGTATTGCTTCTATTGTTGTAATAAAACTTTTAATAAAATTCCTATAGTAAATATGAAAGCATAAGCCTTTTTTTTTTATAAAGATATATAATTAACTTGCTCTTTTTAGCTTAAATATATATTTACTAAATGTTTTTCTAATATATTTGACTTCAAGCAAAAATTGCAATAAGACAGAAAAGAAATTAACTAAATATCTTTTTTTCTTCTAGTTTTAAGTATTGCAAAAAGGTAAGGATTAATACTAATTAATATTTTTGCCAATTTACACAATCGTATAAAAATAAAATTTGGTAAGAGCATAGAATCTTCCTTCTTTATTTAATAATAATTGTTGTCAAGCAACAATATACAAATAAGAAAATTATATTTATTTTTTTATACTATTCAATTTTACCTTTATTATATTTCTTTTGATCACTATAATTACTACTAGTACTATTTCTATATTACATATAATTGTTTAAATTATGCTTCTTATTAGAAACATAGTCTGGATTATCTAAATTAATATACAAAATTAAACTATATTTTATTTTCTTTAACTTATCATAAAATACCATATAAGGTACCTGAGTATCTTACAATTCATATGATAAAAATTTGATTTGTACTTCCTAAATACTTTGTATGAAAAAGGATATATTACATAGAAGGTATCTTGTAAAGAGGATATATTATTAAGTATATAATAATATCATATTTCTGTATTTTGTTCTTTCATATTCTTGCAAATATGGTTTTATATTTTATAATCTTGTACTGATAATACTAATATATATAATATGATAATTAAAATTTTTTTTTTATATATGATAAATTTAACTTTTAAGATTCTATAAATGAAGAGGGTTAACATTTTTTTTTATTTATAAAATATAAATATAAAATATAAGATTTTGTTTTTTTTTAAAACTGTGTTTTTTTATACTAAGATAAAAACTTTTTATGAGCATAAATATTAAGAAAACTTATCTTTAACATTATAGTTTACTTGAAAAGCATTTCTACAACAAGGCTTCAGCAAAAGAAAAACTAACAGTAAACAGCCCAGAAAAAACTTTTTATAGTTTTTTATCTTGAAAATATTCCTGATGCTACTGTATAGGGAACAGCTAATAGATTTCAAGTTTAACCTAAGCAAATCTGAAATTAAAAAAATAAACAAGAAGAGCTATTATCAGCTTAGCCTCATATTAAATATCTTAATATTGGTACTTGACCAAGTTATTCTAAACTCGAAAAAAAACTTGTTGAATAAATTTGAGTCTTATATAACAAATTAAAACTAGTTAGCTGTATTATAGTACAAAATAAAACTATTACATTAGCAAAATCCTCAAAATATATTCTTTACTATCCTAATATTAATAAGTTTAAGCAGAGTAACAAGTGACTTGATTGTTTTTTATGATATAATAGTTTTAATAATCTTTATAAAACAACTATTGCACAAAAGCTATTTGCAGAATTAGAAACACAATAACAAAGATTTTTTAATTTTGTTCAATATCACTATATTTAATATAATTATTTATTATCATTAATAGGTAATATAGATAAAATGCTTCTTTCTTTTAATATGCCAAGCAACATAACTATAGATAATAAAGGCAATAAAACTATTAGTATTAGAACTTTTAGTTATGAAAAATTCTGGTTTACTGTTATGCTTGCATGTATAGCAGATAGTAAAAAATTACCTCCAATGATTATTTTTAAGTTAAAGAATGTTCTACAGCTTGAGTTTCTACCAGATATAATTATTAGAGCTAATAAAAGTAGATGAATAAATGAAATGGAAATAAGCTTTTGGATAAATAAGATTTGGCAAAATCATATACAATGTTCTGAAAATCTACAGTCACTTTTAGTAATGAATTCTTTTCAAGATCATATAGTTTCTTTTATTAAAAATAAGCTTATTGAAAAAAATACTAATATTATAATCATTCCTAGAAGATTAATATCAAAACTTCAACTACTTGATATATTATTTAACAAATTATTTAAAGCAAAGATGTTTTTTTTTTTTTTACAGTTAATATATGTTAATGCATCTTTTTATTAATAAATTAGATCTATATATAATAAATGAATATTATAAAAAATAAGAGAATTAACTGAATCTGTTTGAATTAAATGTTTCTTATATAATTTAATTGCAGAATGTGTTAAGCATGCATGGAGTGCTATTGATATTCAGCTAATTCAAAATTCCTTTAAATGTTGCAGCATCTCAGTTGCTACTAATGAATCAAAAGATGATTTATTTTTAATTATGATTATATTGAAAATAACAATAATAAAATTGGTAACAATAATAAAATCAATAAATTTATTTTTAATAATAAAAAAAACTTAGTTTTACAACTTCAATTTAATAAACTTTTTAACAATTTTTTTATTTTAATAAGACTTTGAATTAGAACACAACTTTTCATCTTAACAAAGCCTCTTATCTCAACAAAACTTTCAAAACCTTCTAGCCAACAAAGCTTTCAAGACCTTCTATCTCAATCACACTTTTTTTTCCAAAAACACCTTCTTCTTCAAAATCTCTTATATCAACAAAACTTTTTATTTCAACTAAATTCTTTGGCTTAACATTAATTTCAATAATATCTTCTGCCTTAGTAAAGCTTCTTATTTCAACTATCACATAGTTTTTTGGCTTATTAAAACTTTCTAAATCAGAAAGAATTTGAACATTATTATAATCAGAATAAGATAAACAACTTCATAAATTAATGGGTTTAATAAAGTTTAAATAAATTTATCATCTAACCTTTTATATTGTAAAAATATAAGGTTTTTAGATTCAATATTTAAATGTAATTAACTTTAAAATTATAAATATTGTATTAATAATTAAATAGTAATATGACTAAATTATAAACTTGGATTATCAAATACTTTTCTTTTTTACAAGTTTCTTTTGATTTAAGCACATTTATGATTGTGCATTTTCAATTTGTAGTATATGCAGTTACAAAGCCTCTTTTTCTAAAAATCAAAGAATCTGTTATAAAGAAGGTATAGGTACAGTTAATAAATAAACAAAGAAGTTTGTCTGATA